GATGTGATAATAGCATGCAGAGATTTATTCATATTTTTACCATTTTCTGATTGAAAAGAGACATTTGCAACCAAACAGTGCATAACATTTTCAGTTTTTATCACGTATGGGTAACTTTAGTGCATTCCATTGTCAAATGACACTCTGTGAACTGCATCCCTGTTGATTACACAGATGGATATGTAATCTGGGCCTCAATGTTGCAGAATGGTAACGGAATGTAATAATATCTCAAAAGTGAGTGTCTATGCATCAGCTATATCAGTGTTGGCCAGCAGAACCTTCTCTCCAGGTTTGAAGGCAGGCATGCCTAAATGTGGACAACTGGCACATCGGAAGGCATCGCCCAGATAACACTACAGAGGAAAGAATTGTCAGGTGTCAATGTATACAAAACTTCAAAGTCATAATTTATACAAAGAAAGTAATAGATGTAATTATAAAAATACGTACGCTTCCACAGGCTGATTTGGGCTGGCTGGCTTTCTGAGTTGCTGTACTCTCATTATCCAATTCTTCAGCAAAACCACATGCGCTACAGACCAAGAACAGTTCTATTAATTAGATGGATACACTGTTTTTAACTTTATATGTTCTTTCATTTAAGGTAATCACCAATTTTTGCAGGCCTTCTTTTTCTTTTTGGAGTCATCTCCACAGGAAGCCTTGAGAGATGACGGGTCAGGCTTTTTCAGATCATCAGCATCCAAAAGTGCATCTGAATCCACCAAATCCTTCAGAGTGAAGGAGTAGAACAATGTGGTGGGTGATACACAAAAGGCAAGATTGACAGATGCCAAAACCCATCTTTACATACCACATCATCGTCATCCATATCATTGGCTGATAGAGTCCACTTTTGTGCGGTGCTTGGATCAAGAGCTGGTTTCTCTGCAGAAAACAAGTGTTGTGTTGTGGGTTTATTAAGTTGTACATTTTTAATTGATGCGAGCTTGTTTTTGCCACAAAATAAAAAATAAAGATAATTATGATCTTTCATCTCACAATTAGAACTTTTTTTGTATTTTAGTTTTTTTTTTTT